ATGTAGCCCCTTCATCGGTTGCTATCGTTTCCCTGGGCATGCCTCTGTCAGGAGGGGTAACAGCAGGGAGTAGTTTGCAGGTTCCTGTTCAGACAGTGTTTACTCCAAGTCCATCACAGGTTGCAGTCACCACGCAGCCTGCTGTCTCACAGTCAGTGCAACCTCAGGGCACACAGCCCCAGCAGTTAGCACAACAACCTGTACCGCCGGGTACACAACCCGGGTTGGTGCAGGGAGCGGAACAAAGTCAATGGGTTCCAAAGACGGCCATCGCCGCTCCCAAACCCTTTACAGGGGACAAGAGAGGCGAAGATCTCGACACATGGTTGAGGGCAGTGCCGGTCTATGTCAAGTGTAAACTCACCTTGCCACACGAAGAAGTGCTTGTGGCTGCTTCCTACCTGGAGGGTAGTGCAGCGAGATGGTTGAGTGGGTTAGTGCAACTCCAGGGGTACGGTCATGACTTCCGCTCTTGAGCAGCCTCTCAAAAATTGGAGGACTTCCTGAAAATGGTGGAAGACAGGTGGCATGATCTGCACGAGGCTCAAAAGGTCACTGATGCGATCCTGACACTGCACACTCGGCAGTTTAAGTCAGTAAGGGATGCCACCGACGCTGTAGAGCGTTTGATTTGTGTTCCAGGGTACGCTATGATCCCCGGGTCCTGTTAACGTCGTACTTGAGGACCTTATCTCTGCCGCTCAGGAACCAGTTGGCGAAAGAGAGCAACATTAATATGCACAACTTTCCTTCGTTCAACAAGGTGGCCCTAGACCTAGAAGCAAAGATAGGGCATGGACAGGCACCCACTACGGAAGGGAGAAAGAAGACACTGCCTCCCAACTGGAAGACAAAGGGTCGCTTAATGTTTGTCGACAATGATGGTTCAACCATCGAGTTGGACGGCAACCTCCAGGAGGGAGTAGGTGCAGAGGCAGGTGGCGATACTTCAGAGGGTGGAGTAGTCGCCGCCGTAACCCAACAAAAAGGTAAAGGGACCGATAGACGCCCTAGGGGATCCCRGTCGAAGAGTCAAACAGACCCCAATGCTCCTCCATGGGAGAAAGCGGGTCTAGCGGAGGACGTGTGGAGAGATCGGTGGGCATGGCAAGCTTGTATCAAGTGTGGTCAATATGGTCATAGCATGTACAAGTGCCGCAATAGGAAGGTCACCGAGAAGATCCCGCCACTATGGGGTCGGCAGTAGGATCCTCTCAAACCGTTGGTAGCAACGTTGCTAGTTCTTCAAGCAGTGCTCCGGGAAACACGTCGGGCCAGTAGGGATAGTAGTTGTTCCTACTAGAGTCGCGATGGTGGATTCACCCTCACATTCGCGAGAGATGGCCCAAGCTACAGACTCTTCAGTCGTCCCGCAAACACATTCAGACCCATCGACCCTCTGTTCGATGAATGTGTTTGAATCCTTAGAGGAGCTAGAGCATGAGTGGTCTAGATCAGATTCACTAGCTTCTTGGACGGCGTTAGTTAAAGCCCCTAAGAGTGAAATGTTTGTCAGCGAGGTAGTCATAGGAGGCCGCAAGGGGCCTATTACGACACTTGCTCGACTAGAAACTTTATGAGTCGCGCGTGCGTTGAGAGGTTGTGCTTACAGGGGCAAGTGCAGCGTCTGAGTCGACCCGTGGAGTCGACCTGTGCCAACAAACAGCGTATGGTAGTTAATGACTACCTCCATGATGTAGAGTGTGTTTTCCCGTACGCGGGAGGGGACTTGAGACATCGTGTCTCATTCTTGGTGAGTGACGAGCTCCCAATGGACATGTTACTAGGTATGTACTACCTCTCTGTAGCAAAGCCCCAGTTTGACTGGGACCGAAAAGTGGTCAAACACATGTTGCCAGATGGAGGGACCGCCAGATTACATAAGTTCAAAGCTAGTAATCTGATTGAGTCCTATGGGTGCATGTGTGCGGCCGCATTCTATAATTATTATAATCAAAATCAGGAGGAGGGTATGTACTTAGTCTATGTCTCTGCTGCAGGCGAGCCGGTGAAAATGCCGCCAGAGATAGAGGGAGTAGTTGCTAAGTACCCTGATCTGTTTGAAGAGCCGACAGGGGTTGTTGAGAGGGAGGTCGTCCACGCGATAGAGATTATCCCAGGGTCTAGCATTCCAAGGGGTAGGATCTATCAGATGTCTCCAGGCGAGCTTGATGAGCTTCGCCACCAACTCAAGGAACTCGTAGAGAAGGGTTGGATCCGGCCGAGTGTCTCTCCTTATGGGTCTCCAGTTTTATTCATGCCTAAGAAGAAGGAGGGAACTCTAAGGATGTGCATTRACTATAGGGGCCTCAATGCCATCACTGTGAAGAACAGAGAGCCCCTACCACGCATCGATGATCTGTTAGATAGAGTGCAAGGGTGTCGGTACTTCAGTAAAATAGATATGAAGTCCGGGTACCATCATATTGCAATCCGGCCCGAGGATCAACACAAAACCGCATTTCAGACCAGGTACGGTCTATACGAGTTTGTGGTGATGCCTTTTGGCCTTTGCAATGCTCCTGGCACCTTTCAGCACGCTATGAATCTGATATTCCATGACTACTTGGATAAGTTTGTCGTCGTGTACCTCGATGACATACTTATTTTTAGTAAGACTGTCGAGGA